ACTAGACTAACTCTTGAAACTCTCCTCCAGTTTTTCAGAATCTTCCCTCCCAATTTTCCAGAAATGTTCCTAACTGATTAAAGACTCTCAAAAGTGATCACTGAAACTTGAAGCAGAGAATTTTAAAACTGCTTATGATTCTCAGGCAATTGGACTACTGGCTGAAATTTTGACAAGTTAATTAAGGTAATGAAACAGTGAAAGATCCCTCCACTCTCTTCCTTCCCGGTCTGTCCAAAAAGAAGAACCAAGACCCCTATTTATACCCAACACTGACCTTGCCAGCTCTCAAGAGCACTTTAGGCAGAATTTTTAAACTAATTCTGCCCATCATCTCTTTTTCAATTCCACTAGTATATATTTTGTTCCCCACTAAACTTCTTTTTATTTATTAATCCCACGCGGGTATAGGCAGCCTATTTTTCTATTCAAAATCCCTTAAACCTTGTGAAATGGTGCCCATGATCCCTTATACAGCCTTCAACCCCCCCACTACTGTTTTAAACTATTTCATTAGTTTAATGGTACTTTAGTACCCTACTGTCAGAATATTCAACTAAGTCATTTGCTTACACGGATTCAATTATCTAAATGAACTGAATTTAAACTCTAAACACCTCAGCTATAACCAATCCAGCCCATCAAATTCCAACAGTGATTCAATCAGAATTGATGCAGCATGAGTCAAATTATTATCAGGTTATTCTAACATTCAAGCATGTAAAACTAATCAACGACACTTATCCAATCGACTAAACGAATTACAACACATACAATCAATAGCAAATAATCAGAATTGAACAGACACACAGGTGAATCGAGTCGTATTGATAGAAACAGGAATTATAATAAAATTTTAACTAATCGACGAAGCTCATTCAAATCGATTATATAGTTTATCATATACTTAACCATGACCAGAAAAAGTTCGACCAAATAAAAGGTCTTTGAAGTAGGACAGAATCAATCGACAAAAAATTGAAAAATCAATAAAACTACACTAAACAGATAAACAGATATAAACAAACACAAAAATGGAACAAACAGGAAAGAAAAAATACCTCAAGAATTTCGGAAAACTGGACGACCCTGACCTGGACTCTGACTCGGACTTTTTGAGGTCGAACGGACCTTAATCGAGTGTTCTCAACTGAGAACACTTCGACTAAGTTCGATTAGACCCCCAAATCATCCTTTAATTTGGACACACTTCAACCTTT